CGCCAGTCCCCTTCCGCTCCGACCACCTGAGTGAGCCTGGCGTTGGTGTCTGCCACCTGCCACCCACAGCTTCCCAGCAGCCAGCGAGGCACCCCCCACCCCCACCCCACACTGGGGCGGGCAGAAAGGAGGCCTGCTGCTGCTACCAGTGCCTGGGCACCTGTCCGGGCCCCGCTGCCTGCCTGGCACACCCCTCGGGGCTGTGACTCCCTCCAGGCCTCCTCTGCCCTGCTCCTCGATGAGCGCCTACTGTGCGCAGGCACGGGGCTGGGTGCTGGGACAGAGCAGGGGAGGCGGAGGTGGCCTCCACCCTTGGCAGCTCCAGGTAGTGAGGGGAGTGGATGGTGCGGACCCTGATGGGGCGGGTTTTTAAGGCATTCTTTATTGTCGATAGTATTACAGATATCTCCCGTTTTCCCCCCTTGCCCCTACCCACCCCCCAGGTCTTCCTACCTATCGCCCGTATCCGTGAGCTATGCGTGTCAGTATATGCGTTCTTTGATTTGTCTCTTCTCGTCTGATGGGGCGGTTTTGAGAGAACAAACAACCAACTTGCTGAACCCAGCCCATGGGTGCTGGGGAAGACTTGTTAAAGGTACGCTCCCAAATAGAACAGGGAACAGCATGCCAGGCAGAGGGAACAGCATAGGCGAAGGCGTTGTAGGAGGAGAGAGCCTGGGCGTTTCGGCAGCCCAGAGGCGCCCAGTGTGGCAGGAACCCGAGTGAAGGGAGGGGGGCCCAGTGGCAGGCAGCGGGGGGCCCTGACTAGCTGCTTGGTAAATAGCCTGGAATACTTCGGGCCGCGGCTCAGGAAGACGGCTGGTCGGAGCCAGGGGCTGAGAGGCCTTGCCTGAGCCCTGCACTGTGACCTTGAACAAGACGCTTCTGCTCCCCAGGCCGTTTAGGTAACCCTGACCCTTGAGTGCTCAGGGCCTTTGCCCTCACGATGCCGCTCGGAGGCACCTGTGTCCTTTAGGCTGAGGAGTGGATGGCACCTCTTCCAGATGCCGCCCCGACCGCCCACACCACCTGGCCCTCTCCCTCTCTGCTACCGCCCCTGCTTCTGGCTGCGGAGCTGACACTGCGATCTCAGACGCTCCTGGGAGCCCTTCAGGGAGCAGTTCCCAGCACACACCAGGCCACGGGCCACGTCTGAGGCAGGATCCGTCATTATCTTGTTCATTTCATGCAACGCACATGGGCACCCAGACCCCAGCCGCACACCCACATGGGCCAGAGCGAGCCAGACACCCCATGCAGCCTGCATCCCTGCCCACGTGCCCCCAAACCCCGACAGCCCTGGGCCCCAGTGTCTCAAGGGAGGCCCGTCAGACACAACAAACGCTCTGTCAGCGTGGGAGACGCCCCCACAGTCAGGCTGGCGCGGGAGACTTCCCTTCCTGGACGGGCAGGGAGCCCAGTCCGGTCCTCCGTGGTGGGCGCTGGTGACCGTGCCAGCTAGGGGCACCCCCTCTCCAAGGGGCCAGCCTCCCCCACACCTCTCCCCCAAGGCAACACACAGAGACTCAGGGGCTTAGAAACCAGACACGTTTTAAATATACGTTGGCACAATATTAACATTAAATACACATCATAAATAAGCCTCATAAATAAAATGTTTAAAAAAAAAACAGATACAAACTGATTTAAAAAAAAATACCGATAAATTAATCACATTCCTCCAAGGAACGGGCCCCAAACCCGCAGAAGGACAATTGGTTTCCGCCTGAGAGAAATTCCACGACCCACCACCAGGGGGAGCAGCCGGCAGCCAGAACCCAAGGCCGGGCGCTGCCGGGCGCAGGCTGGGAGGTTCCTGCACAGAACTCAGTCTGCACCCCGGTCCGTCTGCACCCGGACCCCAGTTTATGGAAAGAACTTGAAACCCATCCTGTGTCAGTGAGTCCCAGCAGCTGACAGGCACGGCTTTCCGCGGTCCCCACCCCCTTCCATTCACAAAGACAAAACCGAGGGCCAGGGAGGTCACGTGGCCAGCCTGGGGCCACACAGTGAGCGAGGGGCCACGCTGGGCCCTGAGCCCCTTTCCTGGGACCGTCCCATCAGGGCTTCTTGCAGGACACTGGGCCCCGGTCACAGCTGCCTGCAGTGAGGTCACCAGACGTCCAGGTGTCTGGCAATGAGGCATCCGAGGCCAGCTCAGGCCCTGACCACCGCCCCCCTCCCCCTTGGAACCAGCCGCCACTAAAAGGAGGAAGTCTGGGGGCCACGGCTCTGCAAGTCATGAGAGGGAAGGGCCGGCGGACCTCCGGGCCGCGGAGTGGGGGGTGGCGGTCAGTCTGGCCATGAGTCAGCCTGTGTCATCAGACCCCTGAATCAATGGAAAGTTGGCCCCGCGTGCCCTGACCCAGCCACCCCACGGGGACTGGGGAAGTCGGGGCTGGGGGAGCACAATGGTGGGGTCCTGTCCCCCAGTCCGGGAGGAGGTAGAGGAGCCTGCCCGGCTCTCACCCCTTAAAGTGCACTTGGGAGAGATGGGAAGCAGGTGTGGAGGCCCGGGCACCATCCTGAGAGCACCTGCTGGTCCTCCCCCTGCGGGGGGGTGGGGCTACCGGGGCAGCTGCCCCCTGGGCACGAGTCTCCTGCCCCTCCTAGAGGGTTGCATCCCGCGCGCCCTGCGCACCCCCCTCTGCCGGGCCTGGCGGGGGCTTTGTCTCCGGCTCCTCCGGCGCAGGGTCTCCCTCCACTCATGGAAGACCTGCTTCGCCGAGTGCATGAAGCGGTGGAAGCCGCGCAGGAACCGGCAGCCCTTCAACTTGAGCTGGAAGGCGTCCGGGGTGCGGGTGGGCGGAGGTGAGGTCCCCAGGCCCGCCTGCGGGGGTTCAGCCGTTTCCGGGGAGCCCGGGAGCAGCTCCTCCATGCAGTGGATGTTGTTCCTGATCCCGTGGATGTACCTGATGGCCATCCCCCAGGCCTGGACGTCGGGCATGTCCTGCTGGAACGCCTGCAGTCTGTGCAGCACCTGGCCCAGCTGGGTGCGGAGGGTCCGCAGGAAGTCCGTCCTGCTGAGCCCCTGCAGGGCCTGCTTGCTGGGGAAGACCCCGGGGCGCTCTTGGCAGCCCTGTTTCAGTCCAGACATGTCAAGGCCTTGGATGCGGATCTGGGGGGGAGGAGAACCAGGGGGTGAGTGCTGGAGCCCCCACTGTGCACATGTGTGCACACACACACACACACACACACACATAAGTCTGCTCTGGTCAGCCTTGACATGCTCGACCTCGTCCACCCCCTAGCTAACCTGCCCATTGTACAGATCCAGAAACTGAGGCCCAAGAGGGGAGAGGACTCCCCGGCCACTGCAGGCAGGATCGGAGGGATGCAGGGGGCCTATTGGGGGTGACTGCACAGGCAGTGACTGTGGTGGGGGGCGTGTCCGTGGGAAGGTGACCATGAGCCCCAGGAGAGCAGGACTGTTTTGTTCTCTGCTTCTTCTCGGGGGCCGAGGACAAGGCAGGTGGGGAGGGGGGTGCAGTAAGCGTGCTGGACAGATGGAGGGTTAAAGTGGTGCGGCCGGGTTCACACCCCAGGCCCCCTGAGCTAGGGAAGCTGTACTGTCTCGGGAATAGGCCTCGGGTGGGTGTCTGACGTGGTTCTGGAGTAACACGGGGACTCGGTTTCCCCACCCCCATCCCCATCCTCTCTGCGGCTCACTCCCGCCCTAAGCCCGCCGTTCTCTGAGACTCAGATGCCCCCGGGGCGGGCGCTCACATAGGGGTCCAGGAGCAAGCTGGTGTCCTGCAGGAGGTTCGCCTGGTTCCACAGCTGCTCGAGGAGCTTTTGGCCATCGCCCGGGCAGGTGCCCGTGGACACTGGGTTCAGGAACAGGAGTCTGAGGATCAGACCTGGGGCAGAAAGAGGGGTTGTCACCTGACTTGGCGAGGAAGCCATGGGGGGGCCAGCTTTCAGGGGTGGGGGAGGGCGCTCAGAGGGCGCAGCCCGTCCTCCCGGCTCTGTGCCGCGGAGGGGGCACTGGGCGCACCGGCTGGGGCCACGGACACCTGCCCAGGGAGGCAGTGCCCAGCACCTGGAATAGGGGCTGCGATCCACCAAGGAGGCCGTGGAGAGGACGCAGTGGGACCTGGAGCCGACAGGGGTGGACCAGGTGGGATTGCTCTCGGCAAGACCTCAAGGCTAAGGGACGGCTATTGCCCCAGGGCCCTGGGCCCCCTGTGACCGACCCATTTTACTGATGGGAAAACCAAGGAGCTGAAGAAGGGTTGCCCAAGTCTCACAGGGCCAGCCTGTCCCCCAACCTTGAGCCTTCCTCCTCTCTCCATAGGTGGCCACTCCTGTCTGCCAGGCCCACAGGGGTGCTGGGAGCCTGTGGGAATGTTTGGGGGGGGGGCCGGCACAGTGACCGCTCGCCCTCCTCCCCCCACTCACCAGCAGCCACGTGGTCGGAAGGGGCCTGTGGTGCAATGGCCGGAAGGCAGTGACACCACGTTCCCTCACCTTCCCTGCAGGGACGCGCTCCCGGACGCTAGACCGGCACGTGGTCTGGGTATGAGGGCGCCGCTGCCGCTGCCGCAGGAGCAGAGCTGTTCCTCCTGCACTTGGGAGGCCGCCCGCCAGCTTTTGTGGTTTTCCTCGCCTCCCCGCCTCCCCGCCTCCCCAGGTGTCTGCTGAGTGCGCACGTGGGGCCAGGTGTGTGCCTGCTGTGGGTGCAGGTCTGTGTAAGGTTGAAGAGATCAGACGGGCCCCATCCACCGTGGGGCCCAGGGCTGCATGCGGGGGTTCCCGGGTTGGTGAGATTGAGGGTTCCGGATGATGTCACGTCGCTCGGCGTGTGTCACCCTGTGGGTGTGGCTATGTGGCTGTGTGATTGTGTGGGCTCCAGGGCCCCTGTGCCTGGCTGACTGTGACCCTGCAAATCAAGGCCAGAAGGAGGCCCCTCCAGACGGTGTGGCCCGTTTTACCGCTCAGCTTCTATAGCTTCCTCTCCACAGCACAACTCCCACCTCCCTCCTGCTGCCCCAGCCTCTCACCCAATCGGTCCCCTCCCCAGGCTCCCTGAGCTGTCTCTGCATTGCCTCCCCCTGGAAGCCCTCCTGGGTTACCCCTTCTCCACCCTGTGAAGATGCCGTGTTCTCAGTGGACCCCTGTCTTTGCCTGACCTCCCTGCTCTCTTTCCGTCTCAGCATCCTTCTGCCCGGGGCCCGGTCTCCCCAGCTCCCAGGGGACAGAGGGTACCCTGCTCCCCGCAGACACCCGTGGTTCACAGCCAGCGGGTGCTGGTGGGGAGGAAGGAAGTACTTACTGAGCAGCGTCCTCCTCATAGGCTGTGCCCACATGCTGGGTGTCCACGCTCCGGCCTGTGCCTGTTGGGGATGACACCTCCGGGCTGGAAGCCCTGCGGGCTGACAGCCACTTTATTGCCTGCCAGAGCGATTGGCCAACACCTCGTG